TAGTGTGTTGAGATGAGAATTTCTTAACTGCTTGATTAATAATGTTGGGTGAAAAGCCCCTGTCAATAGCTATTGCTTTTTAAATTAAATAATTAGTTCTTTCATCAAGGGCTAGTTTGGAGGAGCAAACTTGAAGAGCACGGAAAACATAGGAATAAAATGAAGCTAACTTTTGTTTAGTCGGATGACATGATTTAAAGTGTGGTGGAAGGCAAACCGATGAAGGTTTACGGTAAACTGTAGTACTGAAGTTGGATGTGTTACGTGTGACCAGAATGTCGAGAAACGGAAGAGAATTGCAAACGTCTCAAGTTCAAAAGTGAACTGAATAAGCAGGATCAATAGAATTCATTGTTGAAAGAACTCTATTTAAATCATCTTTATTACCTTCAAACAGGGTAAAAGTATCGTCTACGTAGCGGAACCATGCCGGGAAGTTTTAAAGTTTCAAACAATTTTGATTCATAATAATGCATGTAGATATCAGCCAGGATGGGACTGAGGGGGCTTCCCATGGCTAATCCCTCAGTTTGCTTGTAATATTTATTTGGAAAACAAAATGTGTTTGTTTCAAACCAACAGAGTTGAGTGAGAGAAATTAGCTCATCAATTTCGATGCCAGAGAAATGAAATTCGCGAAGTCTGGTTTCTAGACATCTTAATGCACCCTCCACTGGGACATTGGTGAATAATGATTTTACATCACAAAAGAAACCATGAGTAAATTACGAGGAGAAATGTTTTTTTTTAACCTTTTTTACAAACTCTATTGAATTTTTTATGGTGTAAATGTTATTGTCTAATAGAGTGGAAAAATCTAGAACTAAATATTTAGCTAATGGATACGAGGCAGTACCTAAATTTGATACATAATAGGGCGGAAAGGAATACCACTTTTATGAATTTTGGGAAGAAGCATATAATCTGGCACAATTCGCAACAGATGGGATAAGCGAATGTTTTAAGTTGCTTGAAATGATTTGCGAAGATTTGATCGCAGTTTTTTTTGATAAGTCCGAAGGTGAAGGATCTTAGGGATCGGTTATATGGTCCTTCGTTTAAGAGTTAGTGACCCATCGATTAAGTGTTCTTATCCATAAAATTTTGTGAATTCGCTGATTTTTGTTGTTTGACTTCTGAATCAGTATTATTCGGCGTGTTGTTGTGTCTTAATTATAGAAGCCCCCAAACAGGCTTACATTTTGCTTTTTTTCTTTTTGCACGGTGTGGGCCATTATCCCATTTTTATGATTGTAGGAGTTTCGGTGAGTACATTTTTGCAATTTTCAAGTTATGTTTATGTTTTGTACATTTGGATATTGTGCTTTGCTTGTCTGATTTCATGCATTTTGCTTACAAACGTTTTGTTTTCTATTCATTTCAGTGAGGGATTTTTTCTGCTATTTTGTGTGTACTTTATTATTGCTTTTTATTGCTCAGTTAATTTAGTTTGATTTTCTGCATTGTTTATCATGCCTTCATCCGTTAATCGTTTCACTAAATTATGCCTGAAATGGCAAAAATTCCTGAATCATCTTGACTTTTTACTTAAATGTAAATGTAAAAAATTGATCCCCAATTTTATTCAAATCAAATCTAATCAAAAACCTTCGAGTCGCGTTTCAAGAATTCTGTTAAATTGCAAAACTTGCCTTACTTCGGTCCGTGATAAGGGATACACGTCAACAATTGTCCAAAATTGAACATGAACTCTATAAGCTTCATCTGGAACTCGCTAAAACATATCCAAAATTCACTGCCCTTGAACAAAAGTCTTGGTCTAGAACGGAGAATGCAGTTAACCGTCATAAAAACAACCCTTGCAGTTAAATTCGAAAAAACTTCTTTTACAGTCTTCCAGTTCAAGTAGTTCAAAAAATCTTCCCATTGTAAACATCAAGCCAATAGTTAATATTTCTAATGTTAGTCTTTCAGAAGAACAAGAGAGAATTCTAAAATATAATTTTAACTTCTCACAAACCTGTAAACCCTCGATTCCAAAGATTTTGGCTCCTATCGAAAAAGCTTTCAAGTTCAGTAAAGTTTCAGATTCACAGAAAGAAATGATTAGGCATCTTATCGCTCATAATGTGAAATTCAATAATAAACCTTTGAAAAAAAAACCAAATCTAACTGCGAGAGAAAGAGCTACAATGCGCGAGATTCATCTCTAACCCGGATATTATCATTTCAAAGGCCGACAAAGGTGGCCAGATAGTCGTCATGGATAAGAACACTTACATCGATGGTGTCACTAAACTCTTAAACGAAGGACCATATAATCCGATCCCTAAAGATCCTTCACCTTCGGACTTATCCAAAATAAAAACTGCGATCAAATCTTCGCAAATCATTTCAAGCAACTTAAAACATTCCTTTATCCCATCTGTTGCGAATTGTGCCAGATTATATGCTCTTCCCAAAATTCATAAAAGTGGTATTCCTTTCCGCCCTATTGTATCAAATTTAGGTACTGCCTCGTATCCATTAGCTAAATATTTAGTTTCTAGATTTTCCACTCTATTATAGACAATAACATTTACACCATAAAAAAATTCAATAGAGTTTGTAAAAAAGGTTAAAAACATTTCTCCTCGTAATTTACTCATGGTTTCTTTTGATGTAAAATCATTATTCACCAATGTCCCAGTGGAGGGTGCATTAAGATGTCTAGAAACCAGACTTCGCGAATTTTCATTTCTCTTGCATCGAAATTGATGAGCTAATTTCTCTCACTCAACTCTGTTTGAAAACAAACACATTTTGTTTTCCCAAATAAATATTACAAGCAAACTGAGGGATTAGCCATGGGAAGCCCCCTCAGTCCCATCCTGGCTGATATCTACATGCATTATTATGAATCAAAATTGTTTGAAACTTTAAACTTCCCGGCATGGTTCCGCTACGTAGACGATACTTTTACCCTGTTTGAAGGTAATAAGATGATTTAAAAAAATAGAGTTCTTTCAACAATGAATTCTATTGATCCTGCTATTCAGTTCACTTTTGAACTTGAGACTTGCAATTCTCTTCCTCTTCTTCGTTTCTCGACATTCTGGTCACACGTAACACATCCAACTTCAGTACTACAGTTTACCGTAAACCTTCATCGGTTTGCCTTCCACCACACTTTAAATCATGTCATCCGACTAAACAAAAGTTAGCTTCATTTTATTCCTATGTTTTCCGTGCTCTTCAAGTTTGCTCCTCCAAACTAGCCCTTGATGAAGAACTAAATTATTTAAAAGCAATAGCTATTGACAGGGGCTTTTCACCCAACATTATTAATCAAGCAGTTAAAAAATTCTCATCTCAACACACTAAAAGCCACACTCTTATTTTAGGAGATTATAAAAATTCTGTTGTCATTCCCTTCTTTCCATCAATTAGCTATAAAGTTGCACATATTTTGCAGAAATTTAACTTTCGGGTTGTTTATTCTCCCATCAATAAAATTCCAACTTCTATACTCAAGGACCCCATTCCGGATATGAATTCCATGGGTATTTATAGGATTCCTTGCCAGTGCGGTTTAATTTACATTGGCCAAACTAAGAGAGCCTTAAAATTTCGCGTCAAAGAACATGAGGCATATGTTAGAAAAAAGGAAACACAGAAGTCTTTCTTCTGTTGCTCAACATTGTTGGTCCGAAAAAATCACACTTTCTTTCAATTTTTTCTGCTGCCAAAATTATTCAAAAACATCTTCCATTGGAGAAACTGGATTTTCTAGAGGCATTCACATTCATAAAAATCTTTCTGTTCTAGTTAACGATCCTAATTCCAATCCAAATTTGCCTTCGGCTTTTAGAGAAATTATGTTTTAGTTCTGGTTTCGCCAACAGATGGCGCCACTTGCTTATTCTTGTCCAGGCTTTCTTATCTTATCTAAACATTATTTCCTATCTTGTTCATTTGCGGTTTTGCAGCTGAAGATGATGGTTCGGTAAAACCATTGAAACTAGTCCTGTGAAAATTTTGAGAATTAACGCTGATTTTTGTTGTTTGACTTCTGAATCAAGTTTCCTATATGTTGAAGAATGGTCAGAAACAAATATCACAATAAAAACAGTTTTAATTGGTGTTTTTTGACTTCATCACAAGTAAACTGAGCAGATATTGAAAATTATCTTGAGTTTTTATCAAAAGAAATGCCTGATATTAAAATCGATGACAATCATCTGTTTGAAGAAATTAGAAGATTGAACGTATATTTAAACACCGATAAATTATAACAATGGGGCAATCAACATATTGAAATTGATAAAAGATGGGTGGAAATTTTTAACCCTTTAAAAAATAAACACATTCCATGTGAAAATTTAGTTATTCTTGTTGAATTTACGTTGAGTTGCCCTGGAACTAATGCAGTAGTTGAAAGTTTTTTCAACTGGTAATGATTTTTGGACAAGCGAGAAATCAAGATTGAATGTTGATACTTTAGCTGCAGCACTTACTGTAAATTTCAATATGAAGAATTATTATTTCTCCGATATTTCTAGTATTTTGTTAGTAAATGATGTATTGAAAAAAAATATTCATTCAATGAACAAATATTCCTTTAATTAAATAATTAAAAGGGATGTAAACATAATTGTTGTACTTTTGTTTAAATTAATAAAATGCTTCATTTATTTGTGATTTACTTTTTGTCTCCTCCTTTTCATAAAAAAAAAAAAAAAAAAAAAAAAGGTCACCTTATATTTATCAAGAACTATATTAGTTACAAATTATTTCGCACAACATTCTGGCACCTTTTTGAAGTGATGTTACTAGAAAAAGTACAGAACTTTTACATGATTCTTTTCTAGTTACCCTTACACATTTTCTATTTCTTTTGTTTCTTATAAATCATTTTAAAGAATGATTTTCTAAATAATCATTTAATATCATGAAAATAAAAATAAAAATAAAAGGTAAATTAACTGGCTTGACTGGAAAAAATTAAGTAATGCAAATAAAAATAGAAGAGCTATAGTTTTTGTAAATATGGTACTGACTTTTTTAAGCGATTGTTTTTCGTTACAAATTTTACATGACCACGTTTTCGACTTTTTAACTTGATGAACTTGGAACATTTCACAGTTGAAACAACATAATACTTGGAATTCTTGAGGCATGAAGGGACGTTAAAATAATCAACTTGCGCGGTTTACAGACGACGTACACAAATTGTTCTTCTTCTTGCCATCATTACAACAAAGAAAGTCTATATATTCTTTGATACAATATATATTCTTTGATTACAGCCTCCTTGATCTTGCATTCACATAAAACTGACTGACACCTGAATTTTCTAGATTTTTGTAGAAGACTTACATTACACTCTGAACGCAATGTAATATTTTTTGGAACATTATATGAAGTATTGATATATATTCATAGATTTTGCAAGACAATTGGAAAAAAAATTAAATATATTTTGCTATTCGACTACGGTGTTCCGATGTACGGAAGACAACAGCATTTTTAAAATGCATTGATATTTTTTCCTTGAAACACCGATTCAGTAAAAATAAATTATACCTATTTTCATTGAAAAAAAAAAAAAAAAATTCGCCTGTTATTTTTTAACAAAAATGTTACTTCAATTACACACTTCTACTTCGACTACACATACGAAATTTATTTTTCAAGTTGCTGAAAGCACGTGCAAAGAATATGTATTGTACATAGACCTCCTTTGGCACGTGCGAGTGAGTAAACTGTATTAGATTATAGTTGATTGTGTCGACCAATATACCTGCGAAAGATATGGAAGTCGAATGTGAATTAAAAGTTTCAAAGAAATTAAGTAAGAAAAAGTGTCCAGCATATGTATGTGTTTTTCAACAACACTTGAATCTGGACTCTGGAAGTGTTACATTTGAATCTTATAGTGCTGGTGATGCGACTAATTTTAATCGTGATGCTAAAAAACTAATCGTAGCTAAAGCTGGATTAGCTACTTTCACTGGATCCTCATCGATGAAGGAACGTAGGGAAGACTCTCTTAATAATCGTTATTTCGTAGGTGTACGAAATAAAAGAACTGGCCAAATGAAATTGTATGAAACTCTCCTCATTGATATGGATCCTACATTGAATATTTGCCCTGCAGATGAAATTACAAAGGCTCACAGTTATAGTGAAGCTGTAAGCAATCTAACGGCTAGTTTTGGGAGCAAAATTCAAAAGCGTGCATTAAATCAACATCACAGCTTTAAAGTGGAAACATCAGATTTCAATGAGACGCTGGATGAGATGTCATTAGGGGATATTTCGTTAAATATAACAGAGTCACATAATACCTCGCAATCGATTGACTATATCCCTCCTCAAAATCGCAATACAATCACTGTTACCGATGTGTATAATGTGAGTGATATAATTACTCCTGAAGAAGACTCAGCTCTTGATGAACTTGCTGCAAATTTTATTAAAGCAACAGCTGATGATATAGAAGTATGGAAAAAAGAGAATCGTTATTGCAAGTATGTTCTTTCTCATCTCGACGGAGAGATAAAGCTAGAACATGAAAAGGCAAAATATTTAGTTTACTACAATTATTTGCTTTCGTTCCTTAAATTAGGATATACAGATATTCGGAAAAAAGATCCTGCTACTCATATTCCTGAACCATTCAGAAGTAAATTTCTTAATGTGTTTACATTAGTTTCTTCAACAGAAAGTAAGAAATCGTATCGAACCTTTCCACAACAGATGAAAGATAAATTATTAGCTCATCTTTTAGTGCTTGCATTATTTATTGATGCTTTTACTACAAACGTTGCTTTGATTCACAGTGATCTTAGAATTGCATTAAATAGGGTAGTAAGTGTTTTTCAGGCACTGGGATGCCATGTTAGTAATAGAAAACTCAATGATAGCATGATTAAAACTGCTGAATTGAAGTTTCCTTTATACATACCAGCAAAGTATTCTAAAAAATAATATTACATGTTATGATGACCTTTTCTGTTCTGTTTTTTTTAAATTCATTCTTGTTGATTAATTTGTCTCTTTTTTTTAATTCATATCACATATTCAACTATTGTTTTAAATTTATACATTATGAATAATTTTTAATGTAACATTAGTTCAGATAAAAAATAATTATTCAATTTCACATTACAATGGATTGTAGAAATGTAAGAAAGTTTTATACTATGTACATACATAGAGCATTAAAATTTTATTTGAAAAGCATATTGAATAATTTATTTGTATTTAGCGTAATGAAATGAAAATTGTAAAATCATCCTTCAGTATCAAAAGGAGAGTATAAAGTTAAGCATTATGCTAGAAGTTGTGCTTATAAATAAAGGTGTGAAATGTATATGAATTTTATAATTAGAATGTTATGTAAATTGTTTATTTTAGATTATCTAATGTACATAATATCTTTTAAAAATGAGAACTGAATGATGCCATAAATTATTTGAAAAATAAAAAAGATTTTTTATGATGTAACCTTTCTATTTTCTAAAAATGCTTATCTTTTATAAATTTATGCAATATATAAAAATTTTTTCATATTCTTTTGAGTACATTTTAATGAACCTTTATTATGTTGAAAAGTGGGGGTTTGTGTTAAGTTATATTTCTGAGGGTGAATAACAGGGTTTCTCTTATTCGCAAGCAAAAAGAAGTTTCCATTTAATATTTAAAAGTTTTTTTTTTTTTTTTTTAAATTCCAGTATTTTCTCAGTAGCAGTGCCATTTCATAAAAGTGTCAAAATATGTCTCATGGTTTACTTGTAACTTTTGTAAATCACAGTGATGACTTGCCTTTTCATTGGCAGCAACATGTAATTACTTGTTACAATTAAGCAATAAAACTTTTCTGAGGTTATAGTACAAAGAGGGAATTACATTTTACTCCTTAAACAGAAGGATCAGTTACCCTCAAAATTAATAAAGCTGATGTAAAAGTTATGCAAATATCACATTTTCTTAGAGAAGTGCCCACTTTTATATTGGTGTCTTTGTTTTTCCTATGAATATATTTTGTGTGCTTTAATATGTTAGGATTATGCATAAAATAATAAAGTTAAAATTTGAGATCAGTTAAATAAAGTAACTTTTGTTTGGCTTTGATTTTGAATTAAATCTTTTGCTGCTGAAAAGCAGGAACCTTTTGCCTATTCAAAATCTATACCAAAGAAAGTTTTTTTTTCACTGAATTTTAAATTTCACATTGGTATGTTTCTCTTCCATTTAATATTTAAAAGTTGGATAAATAATGATTTGCAAGATGTCTTAATATGTATGCACACCATATCCTAATTTACCTACCTATAAATCTCTTAAGTTTATTGCATTTTCTCAAAGCTAAATGATTTATTATTAACAAAGCATTATTTAGAATTCAAAAACCATCCAAAAAGTCATAGATCTGAAACCTGACAACATAAAAATATAACTTACATTTTCGTCTTATTAGCAAAATTTTTATTTACACAATTTCAATCTTGGTGACAGCCTTGGATAGCTCTCACAAGAAAGTTAATGTCTTTGAAACAACATACTTATTTAATGCACTGTTGTATTTGTTAAGAACAGTGTCATTCATCATCATCTTAAGATTGTACTTCTCCATTAACTGTCAGTTATTAGCTAATGAGCAAAAGTAAGCCATGCCAGATATCAATCAATGCAGAAATCGGTTTTTCACATACAGCCTCTTGCTGAGCATGGATTTCCATAACATGATGTCACACATACAAGTTAACTGTTTCATTAAATTTGTCCAATTCACTGATGCAGTGTCAGGTATAACTTGTGATGATGGTGCTGGTTCAAACTAATATTAACCTTCTAAAACTGGGCCGAAATTCTCATAATATAGCCTTCAGACTGGTGCGATCCAAAAACAACTTTTGTGCCCTCTTTGATATTTTCCTAATGAGAAAAAGGGCCCACCAGCGGCCGAGCGGTAAAGTCGCTGAACACTGGTAGTTCGATCCGAGGTTCGAATCCCGTGAACGGGCTGGCTGCATGGGCGTTTTCGTGGTTTTTCCCATGTGTAACGTGCGTACGAGCCAGTTTTCCTTAGAAAGTCCTCCACGAAGGCATCCCTCCCTTTAGGTAGATAACCCTCGAGGCTTTGCCATAATCACATACACATCTAATGAGAAAAGTCGTTAGTCCCCTCTCCATGCATGCAGTAAAATTTACGTTTGTCGGACGCTGTTCGATAGTAGTCGGGTTGCTAGATTTGCGATTTTTTTCAATGATTATTTTGCTTTCATTTAAATGAAGTTCTAGTTTTGAACAAAACGTATGCAATGTTTATATTTCATTTACTATTTCTAATCAATCTCGGCAACAATTTGTGAATTTTATAACTTTTTTTCACACTTCATTTATATTTGCACATTTTTGTATTAGAAATTAGAAAACGAAAGCAAAATTTTACAAAATATAATAAGTACGAACTAGCTTTGTAAGTCTGCAGGTTGGAATGTGATTGTTAATAACATAATTTTATTAACAAAATAATGGTAATGACTAGTTTAATGAAATAATAATAAATTCATTAATAATATCTATCACTATTAGATGATTAAAATGAGATTCAATGCAATTAGATTTTGAGATGAACTTACAGTAATAATAAAGCTTTACATAACAATAACAGAGCTTTCAATCTGCTTTTTTCGATAATTTTGTTATTTTAATATAAAAAAGAAAATCAGAGATGCATTGGTTGCGTTTCATCATTTAACTTTAACTTTAACAAACAACTTAAACATTGGACTATCAGGCAAATAAGGTATATCTTTAACAAGAATTTTCTTTGTAATATTGGCTTTTGTTTATGTTAGCAGAGAAAAAAAAATACGTGACCTATACATGCAATCATCAAAAGTATTTTTCAGCATAGTTTTAAATATTTATGAAGAATTATATGTCAATTTCCTTTTTTTTTATTTGAAGAAAACGAAATCCTCGTGCACCACAATGTATCACACGAGACTTACAAATTGTAAGTAAAAAAGGCAAAATAATAAGTAATATCATCAGTTTTCAACAATACAATGAAATCATAACAAGGATAAAAAAAACAAGTAAATACAAAAGTATAAAAATGTATAAAGAAATCATTAACAATGTTTAAAATAAAAGTCAACAAAATCGTTGAAAGCTCGGTAGGCCGAAGTCGAAGATACAAAATCATAACATTTCGGCGGCCAATGAATTCCAACTAATTTTAATCTACATTTCAAAAGATTTCTTGCTTTATCAAGCAATGGGCAATCAAAAAGCAGGTGGAAAACACTTTGCTGAACGCTAAGATTGCAATTACACAAATTGGAAGATGTCAGCTTAAATTGTTCAAGATAAACATTAAACTTACCATGTCCAGATAAAAATTGCATAACTTTAAAATTGAGTAACAAGTCCTTACTTTTCAGTGTTTCAAAAATAGTTGGAAGAATGTTTTTGTAACAGATCCCTTATCAGAAGAGATTTAATCACAGTTCCACCGCTCAATCATTTTAACTTTGAATGTTTTTTTTAAATAAGTTGCATTCTTAGCAAGCCAATCAGCTCTCTCGTTTCCATAATTACCCGAATGACCACGGACAAATGTAAAAAACACTGAAATACCCATCTTCTCCAGATCTCTGAGAGGCTGCTGTATATTAACAATAATATCATTTCATAAAGAGGTATTTTTAAGAGATTCCAGGGAAGAGAGTGAATCCGTACAGATTAAGTAGCTGGAACCACGTCCATCCTGGCTAATTATCCACTTGATTGATTGCAAAATTAATACACAGAAGCTCAGAAATATATACAGTACATTCATTTCTAATGCGAAATTGGTGACAGTCAATTTCAATATCATCTTCAAAAATAACATAAGCAAATCCAACTTTATCATCAATCCTACTACCATCCGTATACAACACAAATGAGAATGAATTTACATCAGTTGTCCATACTATCCAGAATTCTGTACTGGTTGTCTTACAAGAAGGATGTGGTAGAACAGACAAGGCAATAAACGATCAAAGTGAGAATTCGAGCAATTTGTAAGACTATTCTTGTAATCTATAAAGAGTTAGAATAAACAAATCCAGGGGTGGAAATCCGGCAAGAGAGAAAACAGCATTGTAACTAATAGTTTGGTAACCGCTTATAACTCGCAGCAAAATTCGTCTTTGAACTCGAAGCAGGCGTTTAGAGTTAATTTTCTTTTTTAGAGACAATCCCCAAGCTCTACATCCATATGAAATAAAGGGTACAATGCCTTGTTTATAAATAATTGCGCTAACATTCGATTTAACACCAAAACTGTTACATGCAATTTGATTTAGCCCACGCTGAAGTCTCTCACATTTATTAGAAATGTAGGAAATATGCTTTTTTTCCCCCCAGTTAAATTTGCTGTCCAACAAAACACCTAGATATTTAATTTCATTCACCCTCTCAAGGGGATTGTCATTTAAAAGCAATTGATATCCTTCATAAGTAGTATTTTTTCTATCAATAAACATGGTCTTTGGATTTTTGCATGGTTAAAGTTTAACTTAAAATCTATTGAGCAATGATAAATGAAATCTAAAAACATCTTTGGCGAGACGAAAAGCTTTTTGCATTTCTTTTCCTTGAATACAAATCAACAAATCATCTGCAAAGGCAATGACTTCACAACTGAAGAGATCAGAAAGTTTCTGGAAGAGATCATTCATAATAATAATCCAGAGCTTGGGACCGGAAACAGAGCCTTGTGGACATCCTCTCTGAGGTCGACGAACACTTGAGGTGCCACCCAAAGAAAGCTCGACCGTCCTGTCTTTCAGGAAATCAGAAACAACATTAAACACATTATGAGGTATCTTCATTTCTTTTAGTAAATTAAGAATAGCAGGCCACCATGCATTATCAAAAGCTCCTTCAATATCAAGGAAAATTAAAATAGTGTACAAACCTCTCATCTTGCCCCTCTGTACAATGTTGCTAAGATGCAGAAGTGCATCCTCAGCACATTTTTAAGCAATGAAACCATATTGGTCATCACCAAGAATATTTTCTTTATGTAGATGCCAAGTAATTCTGTTAGTAATTAGGTTTTCAAAACATTTACCTAAAGAAGACAGATACACTTAAGATTATTTACATGTGGAACAGTAAAATTTTGTTTCTTGGGTATCACAATAACAAGGGCGTTCTTCCAAGTTCGTGGGAAAGCACCA